GGGGAAAGGGGAGTGGGAGATGCGGGAAGAGACTGGACAAAAATCGTGCACCTATGGATGAGGACAGTGGGTGGGGAGTGAGGGCGGAGGGGGGGGCGGGAACTGGGAGGAGGGGAGTTATGGGGGAAAAAAAAGAAGAACAAATGTAATCTGAACAATAAAGATTTAATTAAAAAGAAAAAGAAAAGAAAGGCTAGATAAGCTGTAGAAATAGAGAGATAGAGAAATAAGCGGTAGCAAATAAGCTGTAGAAATAGAGAGTAGGAAATAAGTTGTAGAAATATAGAAATAAGCAGTAGAAAATAAGCGGTAGCAGCATAAAATAAGTACAAATAAGCTGTAGAAATAGAGAAATAAGCAGGGGTTGAAACCCAGGAAGGTTTGGGCAGGGGCAGCGAAGCCTACCTAGAGTTCATAGTTAGAGGTAGAGAAATAAGTAGGAAATAAGCTGTAGAAAGTAAGCGGTAGAAAGAAGCAAAAGAAAGTAAGTGGTAGACATTAGAAAATGAGCGGTGAGAAATATGCTCTAAAAAATAAGTGGTAGGAAATAAGCTGCAGAAATAGAGAAATAAGTAGAAATAAGCTGTAGGAATAAAATAAGTAAAAAATAAGTGGTAGGGAATAAGCTGTAGAAATAGAGAAATAAGAAATAAGCTCTAGGAATAGAGACATAAGTAAAAAATAAGTGGTAGGAAATAAGCTGAAGAAATAAGCTGCAGAAATAGAGAAATAAGTGGTAGAGAAATAAGCGGTAGGAAACAAGCGTTAGGAAATAGGCGGTAGAAAATAAGAAGTAATTAGGAGATACAAAATAAGGTAGAAATCTCCTAGGTTTTGTTTAAGCCACTGTAAAGCAAAAGATGGCTGTGGTTGATGATGTTTAAGGAAGCAACTTTTATTTCTGACCTAGATTGTAAGTTCTTGTGGCAGTTGCATTGTTTCTGGGCTTTGGTTATCTTTGCTTGTGTGACCGGATAGCTCCCAGGGACTTCGGGTCTGTGTGACACGCCAGACTCGAGTTGGAGGTCTCCAGCTCTGCAGGACTGAGGGCTGCTCGTTTTCATGCAGCCATGGCTAGAGAAAGAGGCTGAGAAAGGACCAGACTTCCACCTGTCCGGACCGGGCTGGTTTGACTGGGACTGTTGCGGACT